CCCGGTCTTGGTCTCCAGCCCCCTGCACCCAGCGCATCCAACGAGTCTGCCGAGCTCCGGCCGGCGCTATGCCCCACACAGCCCCGCCGCTCTGTAGGCCTCCCGGACGAGGTGACGGCACCTCCATCCCAATATGTTTGCAATGCAGAGATCTCAGACCGGTCAGCGGGGCAGAGATGCCATCTCCCTGCTGGCAAGACCCCGGTGCCCTGGCGCGCTCCTACCCGGCTAACGGGCACGCATGCAGAGGGGGAGGGCAGAGCTGGCCGGTGACCAGGGAGCAAACATGCAAAGGGACGGGATTTACGCACGAGGCCAGCCATTTCTAGAGCATCCCCGAGCAGAAGGAGAGTTCAGATCCGCCAAAAATGCTCTGGCGGATCGTCAGGAGATGGGGTCAAGCTGACCCGCGCGCGCTAAAGCCAAAGCAGTAACCAGCTACAAACGGGTTTATTAGTGGCTTCAAACAAAAAAATCACCAAGGGAGAAGGGAGTTCGGTGCACCGGCAGACACGCCGGGCACCGGCATAGCGACCCCCTGCTCTCCGGAGACCCCGGCCCTGGGCTTGCCCCGGGCTGCAGCAAAGCCCGATCTGGACGAGACCCCCACCTGGCGCGGGGCTGCATGGGGGGTCCGGTGCAGACCCCAACCCGGACTCTGCCCCTCCTGCCTACGGCCTGAGACACAACTCGGGGCAGGGAGCGGCGGGGTGCGGTGCTGCCGTCTCTCGGGGTCCCCCCTTCTCCTGCGGGCCAGGGGCTAGAGACAGCACCTCGGGCGCAACGAGCCCACCCTGCCAGCCTCTCCTCCCCGACGAAGGGACGCCTCACCCGGCAGCCGGGGCTGCGGGGAGAGAGGCAGAGATACAGATCACATCTGAAAGGACAGAGTTGCCGGAGCCTCCTGACCCCGCGCAATATATTTCACCCCCGGCCCATATTTTTCTTCCGCCGGGGAGATGCTGCAAATCTTCTCTCGAGTCTTGACACATCTCATCTCGCCTCAGTTAAAGTTAGTATTTATGGGCGTCAGCGCTGACCTCTCCCCCCGGCGCCCGCGCCCCCGTGGCCGGCTCCCTCGCAGGCCCTCTATAAACAAGCAGGCCCCCAAATCCCCTCTTGGCGAGCGGCGTTATTAGTCTGGCCTCCGAAGGCCAGCGCGGTCCGTAATTCTCCGTCTGATGACACGAGATGAACACGGCGGCATCACTCTCCCCGGCAGATTGGCAGGCGGGCCCTCGTTTGTCAGTGGCCGACTGACAGAATTACTGGTCCTTAAATGAAACGATATATCTGGGAGGTTAAATCTGTTTTCAATCCGACTGCCCCGGGCCGTCGGGCGGACGTGGCGTGTGAACTGATGTCAAGAGGCCATTAGCCCTGGCGCCCCCCCGCCCATGTCCTTCACCGTAACACCGCCGCAGCGCCTGGGGGACACCGGGCAGCCCCCCGGCGTTGCCCATCTCCCCCATCCCGTCCCAAACGGCACGGCGCTGGGAGCGAAGCTGCCTACGGATGCCCGGAGCAGCCCACGGCTCTGGGGATAACTGGTCCACGGGCGGCACAGGGCCTGGCTCTGCTCTCGCTCGCCCGGGGACATGCAACAAGGGGGAGTGCCGGCCCTGCGCACCCCCCGGGCGAGGCAGGTCCCAGCCTGCACCCACAGCAGCACCTGCGGGCACGCTCCCCGGTCGAGAGCTACCTTTGAGCTACTAACGAAGGGCTCGCCCCCTCCCCGTGCTGCTCCCGCGAGGATCCTGCTCCTGGCGCAGCTGGCCAGACAGCCGGCAGCTGGGAGAGCTCAGCCCACCGGCGAGCGAGCCGCCCGCCATGTCACGCTCACCGGGGAGGGCAGCAGGCGCTGGACCCACCGACTCTCTCTTGCTGCCCTGTCTCAGGCTTTGCAGCACTTTCTGTTCCCCAAAAAGCGGAGCAGGAGCAGCGCCAGGCTCCATCCCTGCACGCAGCGCCGTGCACGGTCCCCGGTCCAGCCCACGGCAGCATCCAGCATCCTTCCTGCCCCTACCCCCAGGCCCTGGGACCGGCTCCTACCACCGGGGCCCTGAGGAAGGCGCTTGGGCACCGGGCGGTGGTGCGGGGGCTCGTTCCCCGTGCAACAAGCTGGCCAGGTGTGCACCCTGAGGGGCTCTCAGCAAAGGTGGAGCCGGGCACACACTGCCTTGCAGCGAGGGAGCGGAGAAGGGCAAAGCCCAACACCGGGGCAAGCGGCTAGGAGCAGAGGGGAGGTGTCGAAAGCATCCGCGCTCATCTCCCCTGCATCGTCCCAACTGAGGCAGCTGGCGAGTGGTGGGGCCAGCAGCTGCCCCCCAGCTCCTCTCCGGGTTGGGACCCAGCCGGACTGGCCGGGGAGCTGTGCCTGACACCCATCCCAGTTGGGACTTGCAAGGGGGCTGGCCGCTGGCTGGCGGGACCCAGGACAGGCCCTGGAGAGGCCGGGCGGAGGCAGCCGCGCTCCAAGCAGCTCTCACCTCACAGCTGGAGCCGGCTGCATTACGGCCATTGATCTCTGAGGCCACGGTTTTACGCCCTGCGAGCGGCTTTAGTGGAACACCATAAAGCCAGCGCCGGCGGGAGTTCATTTACCGCACAGGAAAGCCGTTTGCTTTTATGTGCCGGGTGCAGCGGGGAGGAGAGAGCTGCCCCGCTGACCGTCACGAGCCCTGCGGAGCGAACGCTCTGGGCACGCCGCATCTCCGTACGCGGCCGTGTCCCCCCGCGGCGGGGGAAAAGCAGCCACGAGCTACTGCTGTGGGCAGCTACCTACCAACCTCTCCCTAGCATCCTTTCCTGTCACCCTGGATCCCCAGTTTGCTGTAGGACCCTCCCCTGGCAGACAGGAGATGTGCCTGTGGGAAGACACATGCCAACGGGCAGACTCGCAGCCGGCCTCCGGCTTGGTTCCCAGCACAGCGAGGAAATGCAGGGAGTCTCCAAACTCCTGCAGCTCCTCGAGGAAGGGGGTGAACATCGGCCCCAGGAGCCGCACCAGCGCGGCTACCACCTGGGCTGGGGCACTGCAAAGCGCTACCCGTCATCTCTGCAGAGCAAATTGCTTCCAGCAGGTCTGGTCAGACCCCTAAACATGTGCAAAGCTGGCAGATGCCCACCATGTGTGTCCCTAGCCATGCCTCGTCCTCACAGCTGGCGCGGCTGGCCGCGTGCCGCCAGGGCTGGGGTTTCCGGGAGGCCGGGGCCGCGTTCCTGAATGCATTGTTACGGAGCACGGCTCCTGTTTACCCGCCCAGTACAATGCCCGTGCTTCGGGCTAAGTGAAGCCCTCTCGCTGCCATTGTGGCAT